TACAGAGGAGTGGCCAGGATGAGGGAGATGATTCTCCCACTTGGGGTTCTGTGTCCAGGTCTGGAGTCCTCAGCACCAGGAGGACCTGGAGCTGCTGGAAGAAGTTCAGAGCAGACCACAGAGATGCTCCAAGGGCTGGAGCCCCTCTGCTCTGGAGTCAAGATGGGAGAGCTGGGGGTGCTCACCTGGAGAGGAGAAGGATCCAGGGAGAGCCCAGAGCCCTTCCAGGGCCTAAAGAAAATTATGAAAAGGAGGGAGAGGAACTTTTTATATGGGCAGAGTGACAGAACATGGGGCAACGATTTCAAAGTGAAAGAGGAGAGTTAGATGGGATCCTGGGGAGAAATTCTCCCTTGGGAGGGTGAGCAGGCCCTGGCACAGGGTGCCCAGAGCAGCTGTGGCTGCCCCTGGATCCCTGGCAGTGCCCAAGGCCAGGTTGGACATTGGGGCTTGGAGCAGCCTGGGACAGTGGGAGGTGTCCCTGCCATGGCAGGTGTTGCAATGGGATTATCCCTTCCAACCCAAGCCATTCTATAATTCTATGAATTCACTGCTGTTATTTGTGCACAGCCTGACAATGCATCCACAAACACCCCATGGAGGATTTTCAGTCACTGCTGCAGCATAATCTGAGTTTTTGTCTCCTTTTTTCAATTTGATGAACTTGGAGTAGGCACAGAAGACGCCAAACCAAAAAACAAGTGGCCAGAAAACAGCACATGACTGAAGCTGTGAAAAGGCTGAGGGCTGCACAGAGTGGATCTTCTCCACCCACTGCTTCTCTCTGTTTCCAACCTGCAAAAGCACAGCCAGGTCCTCAGCAAGCAAAGCAGCAAAGCGAGGGGGTGACAGCACTCAGGGACAAGGGACAGGTGGCAGGGATGGCTCCTGGCATCAGTCACTCCTGCTGAGTGTCCCATGGCACAGCACAAACCACTCACCTTCCCCTCAATGAGAACATCCAGGGCCCCTCAGATCTGCCAGATCCAAGCATCCAACCCTAAGCTGGGATCTCAGACACAGCAAATCCAACTCTGCAGCTGCTCCAGGAGCCGTTCCCAATTAATGGGTATCTGGATTGAAACTACAGCAGCTTCAAAGCAACCCCCAAAATCAATACCCCCATAGTAAGCTTGGGGTTTTGCATGTGGTACGAGAGGCAGACTGGGAGAAGATGATCTCATAAACCACATATTGATTAATCAATTCCAGCCACGATGCTAATGGGCTTTTCTTACAACACTTGGCACTGGGAGGAAGGAGCAGGAATGCTGAATGAGAAGGGGAGAAACTGGTGGTGTGGTGGAGCTTTAGGGTGAGGGGAGAAGTGCAGTGGAGAAATCTTCTAGAGATGGTTTTTAGTGGTCAGAGACTGGGAATAAATGGAGGAACTGAGCAACAGAGGGAGAAGGGAATAAATCAGATTTATTGGCTCCAACACAGCAGAATTGTACCTGGCAGTTCACTGTGGCTGAGGATACAAAACCCTCCCAGGAAGGACTGAAAGGGGCCAGCATGGCTCTGGAGTCTGTGATGAAGAAAACTGAGCACAGCATCATCCCTCCAGCCAGAGAAAAGGGCTGAGGGCATCAGTAATGCCTGCCTTAGGGATTTTTGCACAGAAACTGCACCCCATAAATAAATGAGCATTGCACTGCCTGGAAGCCAGCAGAGACTGGGTGAGATTTTCTTGCTCCTTGTAAAACTGGGAAGATCAAAACTGGCCAGCCAAGAGGTTGTGCCAGTCGTGGTCCTGCTTGGCAGGAGGCAGGGAAATTCAGCCTGGTGCCTCTTCTCTGCAGCCCACAGGGTCATGCCAGGGGGGATGGAGAGTGATTTGTAAAACTGTGAAACCAGAACCAGTCCTGGAGCTCAGTGTTACCACTTTGATCAACAAGGGTGACACCCAGTCAGGAGAGGAAACCTCCAGGTACAAAATATTAAGGAGTTGCTGCTTTTGCCACCCAATTTTTCACGATTTGGCTTTTCTGTGGGGTACTATGAGAAGCTGCTCCTGCTCACCCAGCAGAGCACAGGAGCACCTTGGGGTGCCACCAACCCCTGCACTGCCACCACCCCACTGCCACCACCCATCCCATTGCAACTGAGCAACTCTGCAGCCTCAAAGCACCACAGACTCAACCAGAACAGACCCTCAGGAAAACAGGAACAATCCTCCTGCAAAGCAGGGGGTCAGGAGGTGAAAACCACACTAATAAAATGACTTTTCTCTTCTAGAACCATCTTTTCCCAGCCAGCACCCCCAGCCCCAGCAGAGGACTCACGTTGTAGAGGATGTCAGTCCAGCCCTCCATGGTGATGCACTGGAACACGGTGAGCACAGCAAACAGGATGTTGTCAAAGTTGGTGATGCCGTAGTTGGGGCCCTGCCAGTACTCCCTGCACGTGGTCCCACTCTCACACTGCCTGGCAGGAGGCTCCTCTCCACAGGGAAAATCCCCCACCTCCTCACCTGCAGAGAGGGAAGAGAAGTTACTGCTTGGAACCATCCTGGAAAGTTCCTGCTTGTTGGAAACCATCCAGAAAAGTTCCTGCATGTTGAAACCATCCTGAAAAGTTCCTGCTTGTTGGAAACATCCTGAAAAGTTCCTGATTGGAACCATCCTGAGAAATTCCTGCTTGTTAGAACCATTCTGAAAAGTTCCTGATTGGGACCATCCTGAAAAGTTCCTGTTTGTTGAAACCATCCTGAAAAGTTCCTGACTGGGACCATCCTGAAAAATTCCTGCTTATTAGAACCATCCTGAGAAATTTCTGACTGAAACCATCCTGAAAAGTTCCTGATTGGAACCATCCTGAGAATTTCCTGCTTGTTGGAACCATCCTGAGAAATTCCTGTCTGGTGCTGCTGCATCCTTCTGGCACCACAGCAAGGATTAAATTCACATTTCGGGTTTCTTTGTGCTGCTATGGACATGGAAAGTTGTTTGTGTCCCTGTGATCATTTCCACACTGCTGGGCTCTGAGAGATGGGTCAGTGGAAGGTGGAGCAGAGCCACCCCTGAAATGCCAAAATTCCTAGTTTGCCACCTCACATTGTGGAATTGTTTAGGTTGGAAAAGACCTCTAAGATCATCAAGTGCCATCAAGGCAGCACCACTAACCCATGTCCCCAAGTGCCACGTGAGCACTTCCAGGGATGGGGACTCCACCCTGGGCAGCCCCTTCCAGTGTCTGAGCACCCCTTCAGTGAGATTTCCCCTAATCTCCAGACTAAGCCTCCCCTGCTGCAGTTTGAGGCCATTTCCTCTTCTCCTGCCACTTGTTACCTGGGACAAGAGGCTTCCAAACTGCAAATAATTTCTGGCTCGTGACAGCTCAGTACATCTGAGAGGCCTGGGAATGGTGTAAGAGCAACATGAAAAAATTCTACACACAAAAAAAAACCCAAAAAACCCAATATAAAGCAACACCACAAAAATAAAACCAACAGTGTGGTAAAAGCAGAGCTTTTGGAATGGCACACACTTCAAACAGCCTCAAAGTGCTAAATATTTGCTCTGTAACATTAAAGCCAAAGGGCACTTTTTGCATTAGTGCTGATTTGGGGTGTGGATTGCCCCAAAATTGCCCAGGTACAGATGTGCAAGCACAGCTGCATGAGGAGCCCCTGGTGTCACACCAAGGACTCCAACTCCTCCTCCAAATGCACATTTTTGCTCCAAAGGGAGGGGAAGGATCCATGTGGGATGGTGCTTCCCTGCTGAGTTTCACTGCACACCCAGAGAGGGCCAAGGTGGAGAAATCTGCCAGGGCAGGACCACCAGGAATGGCCTGGAGGGTGCCCAGCACCTTGCAGGCTCAGCTGGGAAGTGTTGCAGGTTGGAAAACTCCAGTGCTGGCTTTTCAAAGTGAGCAAATATCCCAAGCAATATCCCTGTTTGGAGACTGGGACTGGGGAAGCATTAAAGGGTTTCTGAAGGGACACGTTATGGAAATGGAGCAGCAAACGGCACAAAATCCAATTCACCAGGGGGAAAAGCAGGAGCAGCACTAACAAGAATCAGGAATAATCATTCCATGGAACAAAGCCCGCAGGAGGAAAGCAAAATTGTCACTGTGGAGCAGGATACAAGTGTGTGTAGATATATATAAATATATATGTGACACTTCCCTGTTGACTCAACACCTCAGTGCAGGGCAAACCTCCAGCTCCCAGATGGGTCACCACAGGCTGGCACCAGGGCTTGGGGAGAGAAGAAAATGCCAAAGCTGGCTCCTGCTGACCGTTTGTGAATGTGCATTAAAAGAGGATCCAGTTTCATCTCGGTTTGGCCCTTTGCTGCCAGGGAATTCTCTGAAGATGCAGTGCACATCTATCACAAAGGTGTGGGTGGGGCAATTTTTCCTTTTTAAAGCAGTGACCAGAACTGGCCCTTACTCCTCATAGCTGGAGGAGACAGAGAAAAGGGGAATCTCAAGGAAAAATGGAAAATAAATGTGGTGCCCTTCTCTCCTTTGGGGCAGCTTTGGGGCATTTGGGATGGGTCAGGTGCTTAAAAATAATCCTGTGTCAGCAGAACAGGACAGCAAGGAGGGTGCAGGGAGAGGGAAACAAGACTGGAGCATGCACTGCCATTGACTTTCACCCATTTCTCATTAAAATAATGACAAGTTACCAGCTCAGAACAGTGAGGCTGAAGGGGAAGGGCCATGAATAACCCTTTGGCCATATTTTGGTGCCCAGCACCCCTTTGTGCTGCAGTTCATCACTGACCCACCCAGGCTCTTGGCTCAGCTCAGAGCAGCACTCGGTGCTGGCACCTCTGCTTGCACAGTTGGTACCTCTGGCTCCTCATTCCAGGAAAAATCCCAGGGGTTTGCTCACTTTGGGGATTTGCAACATAAAGAAGCACGAGCAGCTTTCCCTCCTCCCATTTCCCACCCCCTACCAGAGGCATCTCTTTAATGAGTTCACATTTCCACCCTCGGGCCGGTTTGGAGCCCGTGGTCTCTGCCCCAGCTCCTTAATGCACCTCTGTGGACATGAGGAGCACTTAGGTTTTAAAAAGCTTTGTGGGTTGCTCTGCTGCTCTGCTCCCAGGGGATGCAGTGCTGGGAAACCTCAGGCCAGTCTCCTTTCCAGAAACAGCATTTCCCACCCTGCAGCTGGAATGGATCCTCAGAGCTGAGCCCAGGCAGCTCTGCAGCCCTGGAGCATGGAGTGACCAGGCACAGGGACCTTGCCCTGCCTGCTCAGGGCTGTGGGAGCTGAGCCACAGCCCCCAGCCAGCTGCCAGCGATGCCTCCAGTTCAGCTTTTGTGTTTTTCAGATGCTGTACTGCCTTGGTGTGGAACTCTGAACTTCATCTAAAGTGTTACCACAGCTCAGTCACACAAAACAATCCTTTTCCAGCCCCAGAACCAAGGACATCACTGCAGCTTCAGGCCCAAAATGTGCAAACAGCAGAGAATTGAGGAGAGAATCTGGGACTGCAGAACCTGGAGCTGGAATTGGACAATTAACCCCAATATGGAAATGGACCAAACTTATAAAAGTGTAAAAACTCGTGACTTGGGTCCATTTTGGGTCCATCTTGGGCAGAGCCACAGCTGGGCTCTTGTACTGCCCAAGGTGAATCCTCTGAAGGTTTTTTAATAAATCCCTACTTTATTCTTTTAACTCTGTCCAGCCTCTGTTCCAGGTCAGCCTCTTTAGGCATCAGCAGCTGCTGAGCTGCAGCACAGGCTGAGCTCCCCATTCCGGGCTGGAATGCACCCAGCCAGCCAGAGGTGACATTACCCATGACAAAAACCTGTCCTGGGTCCCCAAAGCTGGCACAGAATCCCTTGGTCACCACTGGTGGCAGAGATGAGGCTGCAGGGAGCACACGGAGCTCTGGGGGTGAAGAAAATCCTCCGGAATTGGGGAGAGCCCCGGGCTCTGCCTGCAGCTGCCTCCTGCACACAAAGGATGCACAAACATCCCCCGCCCTGTGTGCAGTCTAACACACCTGAAAATGCTCCTGGAAAACCCCAACCTGCTCTTGCTCATCCTCCCCAGCACCCCAGCCCGAGCTCTGCTGCTGCCTCCACACCCATCCTGTCCCCACTGTCCCTGTCCTCTGCCACAGCCCCTCACAGGGGCCACACCACCCACAAAGAGACTTTTCCCTCCTATAAATCCAGTCCAAAAACTCATTTTCTCCAGGAACTGCCAGGATTTTCTCACAAGTCACAACTCACGACCTGTGTTGTGTTTTTCCAGCATTCCACAGGAACGTGAGCAAGAGTTCCCTTTGTAAATCTGTGTGCACACTGAGTGTATTAAACTGTTCCCATCAGAAAGCACTGCAAAGGATGCCCAGAGATTTGGCAGGGATGTTGTTTTATTGCCATTGGATTGCATGGAAATAAATCAATATTAAGACCTATTAGTGATAATGACTGAAAATACAAGGCTGTGTTTTAAAGAAAGTCAATTGCACCTTAAAATGCAATGACTTGGAGACAAGAACCACATTTTAATGTGTGTTATCAGATAACAAACATATATTAACACCACTATAAAGGAATGAGGTGGAAAGAGTTCAAGGTCCCTCCCAGCCCAAACCATTCCACAGTTCCATGATTTGACACAGCTGTTCCCAGCCAAGAATCTCTGGGATCATCCTTCTCCATCTTCTGGGGTTTATCACTCAGTCACAGGCAGATTTACTCTTCAGTGCCCAATTCCCCTTCTCTGAAGGTCATTTTTATCCTCTCTCCATCAAAGGACTCCTTGCCTTCCATCTATTGTCCTTTTATTTTTTGGTTGCTCCCAGACTCTTCAGTGTTTGACTATTCCACACCAAAGTTTCTCCAGAAACCTCCCAGGAACCTCAGCCATTATTAATATGAAACAACAAGAATTTGGTTCTGTGCTTCTGCTATGACAAAAATCTTTTGGGATAGGAGGCCCTAAGAACTTTCATCTCACTCTTGGGCAGACTGGGAGCAGCCCAGTGGTACCTGAGAGAGGAGAATCTGTCCCAGCCCATGTAAGGGTGGGCACAAAATTCTGTTAACTCTCAGAATGTGTGGGTAAAGAGGGAGAGAACACAGGGAACGTGGAAGAGGCAAAAGGAAAAGCAGCACAGGAGCAGGACAGAAAGGCCCAAAGGGCAGAGCTCACCTGTCTCGTTGGAAAAGCAGGTTTTGTGGAATTTGCCCATGTAAAACTCCAGCCCGATGATGGCAAACATCACAATGGCAAAGAAGAGGAGCAGCCCAATCTGCAGCAAGGGCACCATGGCCTTCATGATGGACTTGAGGACAACCTGCAGGCCTGTGGGGACACAAAAACACCTCAGGGAGGGAAGGAAAATGAGGCCTTGGGAGTGGAGAGAGGCTGGGAGAGAGGGGCTGTCCAAGGGACAGCTCAGGACTGGCAATACCAAGCAAAGCTGCTTCTCCCAGGGCTATAAAACAATTTCCTGCCATGAGAGCAGGAGACAGCTGGGGGTCATCCTTTCCTGATGTCTTTTCCTCAGCTGACAGATCCAGTGGTTTGTTAAGCTTCAGAGGCACTCAAAGGATTTGTCCTGAAGCTGGTCCAGTCCTGGTACTCAGCCTGGAGCTGGACCAGATCCTTGGGGCATTGTGGTGCAGCTTTGAACTCTACCTTGGACACCTTAGGGCCAAGCATGACAGTCTGGTGTAGAGCAGGGGGAAGAAAAGTTTATTCCCTCTTCTCCACAGTCATGCTGGAAGTGTCAGCTTTATCCCACCAAATTCACAGTGGCTGGACTCAATGGTAATTAAGAAATTGGTGCTAAATTGTTATTACTGTTATTATCTGACTGTACTGAAATGGAAGTGAGACCATAGCAGGAGATTACACCTCAGCTAATACAATTATTTAGCTGCACTAGGGTATCTTAGAGATATTTGCCCAAATAAATTCCAATTTGTGTCTGTACACACGAGGCTGAAGCGTTTCTTTGGAAGGAAGATTGTGGTGGTCCTTGGAGACATCAGGCAGGGTCTGGGCTGCAGTGGAAACCTGGCCTGAGGAGCTCCAAGAGAGGGCAAAGAGAGAATTGCCCAGCACCTGAAATTGTCACTGAGTTTGAGAGTGGAGGAGGGAAGCAGAACCCTGTGGATGGATGTGATCCCTCTGTCCCATGGATGTGATCCCTGTGTCCCATGGATGTGATCCCTCTGTCCCATGGATGTGATCCCTCTGTCCCAGAGATGTGATCCCTGTGTCCCATGGATGTGATCCCCCTGTTCCATGGATGTGATCCCCCTGTCCCATGGATGTGATCCCTCTGTCCCAGAGATACGATCCCCTCTCCCATGGATGTGATCCCTGTGTCCCATGGATGTGATCCCTCTGTCCCAGAGATGTGATCCCCTCTCCCATGGATGTGATCCCTGTGTCCCAGGCAGTCTGGGCTTCTCAGGACCTGCCTCTCCCTCCACACCACCCAGAACAGCCTCGCTGCTGTCCCTGTCCCAGGCTCTGCAGAAACAAACCCTGTCCCCAGGGCTGCCCATCCACAGCTTTTCCAGCAGCCCTGGAACTCATTTTCAATTAAAGCCAGGGGAGATGAGGAGAGAGGCTGGAGATGGAGGTGGCTGATAACGTCCTGCAGATGCACACAACAAAAGCTGCAGTGATGGGCAGCAGCTGCCTTGGTGGCCTGTCCTGAGGGGTGGGGGATGAAGAATCATCCTTGTCTTGCCACCTTGTACAGCACCAGTGAGATCAACATGGGCACAGACATTTAAAAAAGCATCAAGGTCTCTTTGACAGGAAAAACACTGAGGGTATAAAAGGGAAGAATATTCCATGGTCGTGGGTGGTTGCACCTCAAGGTTATGCATTTGCCACAGGGAAAAAAAACTATAAAATATTCCACTTTCACCACATCACTAAAAACCTGAGAGCAATTATTGTGGGGAGGTGTTGTGCTGGTCCAGGACACATCCCCAGGTGGGAACACAGCAGGACAGGGATAACTCTGAGGGGCCACCTCACTTTTGTGACACCCTCAGACTGTCATTGCCACACCCTGCACAGGCAAAAGGTCCAGGAAATACCAGGCAGCAGCATCTCCTTGTTGGAGACCCTGCTAACAAATGTCACCTTTCCAAGGATCTGTCCTGGGTGGGAATTCAGATTGAAGCCCTGCCCATGAAAGGATCCTGGTTTCAGGAATTTTTGGTGCTGTCATTGTCCCCAGGTGAATTCAGAGAACACCAGAGCATCCCACAGTGCTGCAGCTCCTTCCAGCAGCTCTTGCTGGAGGGTACAAACCTCTCAATTCCACATCCAGGAATGAGAGAGCTCCTGGAAGTGATCCCTGCTGAGCCCAGAGCAGCTGTGACAGTGACAAATGAAAAGGCAGGAAGCCACGGTGTGGGCACTGGGATGGTTTCAGGGCATGATGCAGCTCCTCACTGCAGCATTCAGACCCTTCAGGTTCACACATAAAATACATAAATTGGGTAGGCAAGGCCAGATCTCCCCTTCTCTTTCCCTTTATTTTCTCCCCCTTATTAAAAGGGAAAAATCCTCAGCACAGGATGCTCAGCTAATCAAAACCATCAGAAGATCCAAGCTGAAAAGCCTGAAAGCTGCAAAATTCAGCTCTCAGGTCTTCATAGCCCAGAGAATTCATTCACCCCCAAAGGCAAAAGGGTCCTTGGACAAATCCCTGCCCCTCACCTGCAGATTTGGGAGCACAGAGCTGAAATCAGCACAAAATGGGACGAGACACAACCAGACCCTGCCAAGGGCAGGAACCACCGACCCCAGAGAGGCAGGGGGAGAAAATATTGCTCAGAAAAGGAATAACACCCCAAATCTACAGAGCCCTGGGGCTGTGGCACAGCCTTGTCACGACACTCACTTGGGATTCCCGACACGAGTTTCAGGGGCCGCAGCACCCGCACGGCTCGCAAGGTCCGCAGGTCAAAATCAGTCCCAGCAGTCGCCAGAATCCTGAAGGGAAACGGGAAAAAAAATCCAGATTAAATGCAAATTCCTCTTTTTGAAGCATGGATAAGTGTGGTGTAAAGCCAGCAAATGTTGGAGCTGCTATAAACTCTGTACCTGTGTGTCTTAGGTTGCAGTACAGGATGTGCCCAAAAGTCTGGATTCTGTCCCCATCTGTTAAAGCAGCTATGGCAGTGATCCTGATCTCTGGGGGAGATCTC